AGAGTGCTGTCCTCTGAAGATGCTGGCCACAGAGACTGGCAAAACGTTAGGAAGAACAATCTTCAGAACACGGCCAAAGAGCCCGAAAAACCCACAACCACCATAACAGGTGGTCTTTAAGGTGCCAAAACCTTTCTATTTATTTTTAATTTTTCTTTTGTTATGGACTGATATGCTTACAGAGACTAACATGACTATCTCTTCTAAAAGCCTTAATTAGCCACTTTTGCTTCTAGAGAGAGTTCCTGCTTGGTTTTATCTAGCACTCACTTATTTGCCCTTCTAGCATTCCATGGAAGAGAAGAGGAGCAGTAGCAGTACTGGTGGAACAGTAGAGAAGATAAATACCACTGAGGTGAAGGAGACAAATGCATTTCGAACCCAAGCAAAGTTAATACAGGCTGGATGAATGGCTATGAAAAATTTGGGTGTGGAGACTGAAGATAGGGGACACTGGGGTGAGGATGTGACTCATGGTTTTTTGACCCAGGTGAAATTGAATACATTTCCTGGAAGTTCATAATAATAAAGGCAATCTCTTTTGAAACATGGTCCGAACAATCATATCAGTGTCCTTATGGCTGCACTGGAGGAGGACAGGAGGGATAGCATACAAATATGAGGCTCATCTAGGCTAATCCCTATCACAATAAACCATGATCTGCAACTAACATTGTTTCTTTCACCACAGTATTTACTGAATTGTGTACATATATATGTTCTTCTCATATGTTTTAATTTTCATGTAATAAGCTCTCTCTCTCTTACACACACACACACACACAAACATAAAAGAAAATACAAATTTTAATCCTATTTATTCAAAACACAAGGTAACTAAGATATCTAGCTTGGAATAGAGATTCCTATGCCAATAATAGGACAGGCTTTCAGACTGACATTTAAATTGCCCTGGTAAACCACACACTTCTTTCTCCATCCATATTTCATATCTATATAGGAAAAATGAGACCTTCTAAAAGGCTGAATGATAGCAGCACTCTGTTCATATTTATCTTGATGAGTGAAAATGGTAATTTATAAATGTTCCTGCCATGCCTGAGTTATTGCTACATTTGTCTTCTATCAAACAGACCTGCCTAACAACCTAGCCATCTTATATTAAATGTACATTATTACTTTGGTATAAAAACATTATTAGAACGAATGCAGTAAGCTTTTATGTGCAATTTGTATCACAGGAGGAGATTTTAAAAATAAAATTCAGCTCTGCACTATAGGAAAAAAAAGTAATGAGAACAACTTTGCTGATCTGTTTTCCCCCCAGAAAATGAAAGCTTAACAGCTTTTAAGGTGAAAATCAAATGTAATTCTGACATAGAGAACCATAAAAGTAGCATATTATACTTATCAGTCATTTTTAAGTTTTCTTGGCTTTGAACTTTATGCGAACGCCTAATCATGGCTTGCCTTTAGCCAAGAGTATTGTTGACTCCTGGCCCCCTCCCAACAGCTGCTAACTTCACAGGACCACCTGGGGAGATTGTGAGGCCTGCAGCAGGTGTGATATTGAGGGTGTGTTGGTGCCCCCTGGAAAGATCCATGCACGTGTGCCCAAACATAGAGACACATTTGAAAATTACTGTATGTGTGGCCTGAATGTGAGAATTCTCACCTGCAGTTCCTCTGCAGCCAGACATCAAGCAGACGGCTAGATAATTGCTATTTGTGCTTCGTGTTTATTTTAAGTTTATTTGTTTCATGGGAACAGAGGGATATATGGACTGGTTTCTGCTCTTGACCATTTCCTCCAAATGTCAAAGCCCTGCTAGCAGATCGTTCTACTTCTTTGGTGCTCAGGCTCCCAGGTCTTCTTCTGGTTGTGACCTGCCCCTGGCCTTCTTCACTACACATGCTGTAAGAATTCCTCCCTTCAGTTCTGGCCTCACAGCACTCCTACACCCTTTCCAATTGTGTAATGGTATTTGAAACACTTAAAACACTCAATAACACTACCTCACTTGAAATATGTTCTATTGATTTTAACCTAGCATGAGTTACATCAAACTGGAAACTGGGAAAGATACGTACTTACCTTGAATTAAGAACAATTGCGTAGTTGGTATCCAAACAATCCATAACATCCTTGGAGGGTGTTGGGAAGATTGCAAACACTTGCTTTTTGCCACTGTAGGCAGTATGTTTATTACAGCCACATCTTTGCTCAGTTTCCCCCTCAGTTCTGTGCCTCAGAGGATCACCCAGCTCAATGACTACATATAGCTGTGTACTCCATAATGGAACCAAGAGAATGACTGAGAGAAAAACAAGAATTGTCTAGCCTGACCAGTCTCTCAAGAAATGCCTCTTTCATGTAGGCTTATTTTTTCACTAAATTTTGATCACAAAGATTAATATTCACATATTTTAAAGATGTACTATCTTCTCTTACTCCTAATGCTGTTGGAACAAAATACAGTACTGTACTTAATATTCTCCATGATACCTTTTGGCTGAAATCCTGTTACTTAGTGTAACAAGTTGCACTAGAGTAGGCCCATTGAAACAATGGGTGTTTGGTAAATCAACTCTTGTAAATTCAGTTGATTCAAATGGGCCTACTCCAGGTGTAGTTTCTTATACTAAAGTACGTTGCAGTTAGACTAGGCTCATTTGTATCAATGGAATTTATGGAGGAGTTGACTCAAAATATCCACACTGTTTCAATGGGCCTACCCAGTCAGTACTTACTACACCAAGCAACAAGATTTCAGCCTTTGTGTACAAGAATGGCACTTCATACACAGAACTATGATTTCATAGGGATGTGCACTCCCCTCAGAAAAATTGTACATAGGAACTGAATTGAGGTATCTGTGGATTTCAGGGGGTGACCACAGGGCAGAACAAGGAACCAAGAGACATTAATGGGGGCAGAGCAATGGAATCCACATATTACATTCAGCATTCATGTCATGAATGGAAAGTAGAAAGAGGAAAGAAATTGAAGCAACATATTCAGTGGTGGCACTGCAGGCTAAACCGCAGAAGCCTGTGCTGCAGGGTCAGAAGACCAGCAGTCTTAAGATCGAATCCACGCGATGGAATGAGCTCCCGTTGCTTCTCCCAGCTCCCGCCAACCTAGTGGTTCGAAAGCATGCAAATGCAAGTAGATAAATAGGGACCACCTCGGTGGGAAGGTAACAGCATTCCGTGTCTAAGTCGCACTGGCCATGTGACCACAGAAGATTGTCTTCGGACAAAACGCTGGCTCTATGGCTTGGAAACGGGGATGAGCACCGCCCCCTAGAGTCGAACACGACTGGACAAAAATTGTCAAGGGGAACCTTTACCTTTACCTATTCAGTTTCAGCAATGGAGGAATGAGAGCTCTTCGGCTTAGAAAAAAAAACACTCATTGCATTTCCTGCTGCAAAGTCATGGGATACAAAGAGTAAAAGTCTACATGCTTTTTTCAGAGGGAAGAGGAAGTGCAGGAGAAGAGAGAAAGGACAGAAAGTGTTGAGAAGAGTAGGCTATCTGCATAGCCTTCCCGAGAAGGAATTAAAGAAGAGTATGCACATTGTCCTTTTTAAAGTCTCTCACACCAACCCTTCTGTGCAGCTGTCATAGAAAGTTGCTCAAGCCTTTGTCCTGGTATTTTGTCAAGGGCATGACAGGCATCAACCTGTGTGTGCTTATTCAAGTATGGATGGGGTTGAGGAGGCAGAGCCCATCCCTGCTATTTAGAAAGAGTGCAAATCTCTCTTTCTCTCTCTCTCTCTCTCACTCACTCACTCACACACACACACACACACTCACACACACACACACACACACACACCCCGGTACTAATCTAGAGTGAAACCCAGCATGAGTTTCACCTAGAATAAACACGTTGAAATCTGCAGACTTATGTTAGTTGTGATTAACAAGTCCTTGTCTATTCAAAGAGTTTATTTCTACACAGCAGCTGTGTGGAACAGCAGTCCATTATACTCAAACACTGGACTTAGCTCAGTCTACTTTTAAAAATGCTCCTGGGAATGCTATCTAACTATCCATTTTTTTTAATTCCTGCCACATCCTTTCTCATACTTCCATGTACACTGCTCTTCATGTAGTGCATCCTTGTTACTGCCCTCCTTTCCCACTGACAGTCCTTCTACATATAGTCATGGAAAAGCTACAGACACATGTCAGTTGCAGTGCCCAAAGGCCACAATGCCCTTATCTTTTTAGGTGCTAATAATCCTTTTTTGCCACCTCTCCTTCCCCAATTTTCTTTGATATTACTCCAGCTTGCAGCCCTTGTCCATCTGTTAAGGCCTTTAACAATACTGTGTTCTCCAACTTCTCTATGGTAACATTTTACTTCTTTGAAAACTGCTAACAAGTTATCCATTGCTCTCTGCCTTCCATTCTGCATAAAAGACGTTTCCCAGCTTTATCCATCAGTCCCTTCAAATTCCCATGTAGATTGCCCCTTGTCTGCATCTCAGCTGTCTAGCATCTTCACCTGTTCCTGCTGGCTGTCGTTGCCAGGCAACAGAAATGTGCCAGGCAGGCCACAGAAGTAGCTGCCAACCACTGTTGTCAGTGACAATGTGGCTAGGTGAGATAAGGGACCTTTGGAAAATTCATGTAAACAAAAATTATGTGGTCCTTGATAACCTGCAGGGAAAGGTTTGTGTGGCTTCAGAGGAGCTAAGGACTTGAGATATTTGCTGGTAAGTTATCAATATAAATGCATATTTCTCATTTCATGTGCACAATACTTCCGTGAAAGTTGGATTTGATAATCCAGTCTTTTTTCATGGATAGAAGCTGTATCTGGACAGCTCGGTGGCTTAGGTCTCTGGCTACAGAGCCGAATCTTTGGGAGCTCAGATCCCCACTGTGCCTCCTTGACAGGGGATGGACTTCACGATTCATAGCATCTCTTCCAGCTCTGCAGTTTTAAGATTATTATAATAATACCCATACTGAGTGGAAGCCAAGCACCAACACGTTACACCTGTAGAGATGTGCCAATGAGTGTTGTAGCTAAACATTTTGGATTCATGTGGTAGAATAATCAATTGATTATACACATTTATTTGTTTGTTTGTTTATTTATTAGATTTATACCCCGCCGATCTAGACCAAAGTCTACTCTGGGCGGCTAGCAATAAAAAATGGAATAAAAACAGTACAATAAAGTAAAAAAAAAAACCAATAGTAATGTGGCACAATATGGGCAAAAGAAAAAACGAAAAAAAACCCAGTCACAATGCTGCAATATTCTGTGGGTTAGCTTTAGAGAGGATAAGATGTTAGAATGATAATAAGATTTCATTGTTCTTGCCAGCAGTCCAATGAACTAAGTTTTTTACAGCAGGGTTTGAAAAAAAAAGTCATAGGTGCTGCTGGATGTGCCTTTGTGTGTTACTGAAATAATGCTCCAATCTCTGTAAGAAAGCTGTAGAAACCCCAATATACAATACAGCTCTATTTCCATCATGCAAGATTTAGTATTTCCCAAAGGTGCATATTAACTGTGATGATGCGTGTTACAACTGTGGAATTGTATTACATTAAACATTAATGTAATGTAATAATCTCTTAGCTGAAAAGGCCTTTAAAAATGTATTAACACATGTAAATATTTAAAGTGCAGTTTTAATACCAAACAACCAAACCTGATCCTTAGTTGCTTCTTCTGCATAACACCTCGGTATTTTACTCCAGGTATTTCACTGGAGAATGTTAAACGCTCTGGATCTGAATTCCTCTGGATTCTTTTATTGACTTACACACTCAGTGTGTTTGATAAATCATAGACATCAGAGGTGTGTGGGATAAATCAAAGAGAAGAATATATTACTTACCAGTAACTATGGTGCGGAGAAAACCCATGTGTGTGAGCCAGCCACAGAGATGATGACAAATAACAGGTATTTGGAGCTATTTTATCCAAATCTCTGCCAACCCAAATAGAGATATTTTCCAGGTAGGGGCTTAACCATATAGACAGCTGTTTCCATTCTGGAGTAAATTCCACAGTGGACATTTGCATGTGGAATTCTGTTCAAATTGACTAATTTTAAGGCAGGTTCCTTGTGCAGAGGGTATTAGCTGGTTTTACTTATTCAGCCAATAACAGAGCCACACTGGATTAGACCCAAAGGCAATATTATGTCCGCACAGTGGCCAACATGTTACCTATGGGAAAACTGACAACAGGATTGTTAAAGTCTGACTTACCATTAGTATTATTGTCACTTCTATCATTGCTTTATTAAGTTTTATAGCTTTGGGGTCTGGACAGAGTTTCAGGACAACCACATCTGAAGAGTTGCACTTTGGCCATTCTCCACTTAAATAAATATCCCACTGAGTGGCAACACAATTCATCCTAACATGAATGGCTGTGATGCCACAGTTAGACCTCTAGAAGAAACCCCCCACTGTATTCTGAAGTTGCCCAACACAAACATTGTGCAACCAGGACACACACCAGAAAATCATAATATGTTAATTGTCTTCTGATTATCTTGCAGAAGTTGTGTGACAGATTAATCTGTTCTGTGAAGTGTGGACACATCTGGGTATAAGCATATACAAATGTTATGGCATAAGGTAACTAAATGTGCAAGCATATACAAAATAAAGAGTGTTTATTACATTAAAAACAGATGAAATTTCATTTTATTTTCTTCTGAAGAACTTTAAAATGCCATAGTTTATAGAAATATTAAAATGTTTTCCATTACACCATAATTCAACATGACAGGAGCCTAATTAGAATTAAAAACTTGGTCATATCCAGATCTATATCCACAAATATTATTATTTGATTTATAACCAACTTAAACAAAAAAAAAAACACACACACACACAAATTGAATGTGTATGTTATTCATAGTACCATACCGAAGATATCATTTTGTTTTATGCTTCTATAGATTAAGAAGAATAAGGGAACCTGGACAATCTGGTTTTCCTTCAGTGTTATAAAATAATATTATCCATGTGATCCTTCCAATACTTATTATACAAAGATTCATAATTCTTTTAATGTACGGGGAAGTTATTTACAAAAGGTTTTGATTATGAAGCTTAACAACTGCCAGCATCTTGAACCTGTGGAAGAAAGTATGCTTTTCCTATATCAACAGAAGACAGAATGTGAAAATTAAGATCCTATGCATAAGGCTAAATCCAGTTGTCTAGTTCCATTCACCCACTGAATGAATAAGACAGTTAAGCCACCATATATGTGGGGTCTACTAATTCAATGGTTCCACTCTAGTTAGGACTAACAAGTAGATTTAGCCCACAGCTGCCTGATTTACATATTTGAAATAATCAGCTAGGCCAATTCATGTCATCTGGACTTACAAAATGGGAATACCTATGTGCAAATTCCATTTATATTAACCAGAATTGCAAAAAACCCATTCACTATAAGTGAAAATTGTACAACGTTACGGGTGGTTTTTGGAAATGGAGTGATATGAGGTAAGGGACAGCTCTGGTGTGGTATGAAAAGGGTTCTGTTGTATTTATAAAATGACCAAGGAAGTATGCAACACTTACTGTTATGTGCTGTTAAGTAGTTTCCAACTAAAGGTAATCTTATGAATTAATGACCTCTAAAAGGTCTTATCATTAATAGACCTGGTGAAAGCTTGGAAACTAAAGGCTGTAGCTTCCTCCTTTTTTTTCTTTTTCTGTTTTTTTTTAGTCAATCCGTTTCATATTAAGTCTTGCTCTTTTTCTGATGCCTTCAACTTTTCCTAGTGTTACTGCTTTTTCCAAGTAATTTGTATCTTATGATACATACAAATTACAATAGCTTCAATTTAGCCGCTTTAGCTGCTAGCAAGACTCCATACTTGATTTTAATCTAGAACCCATTTATTTGTCTTTCTGCCAGTCCATGGTATCTGCAAAGCCCTCTTCCAACATCACATTTTAATGGTCTGATTCCATGCCCCCTTAACAAATTTTAAATTGAAACAATGGTTATGTAAACACTCTTTCTCTCCAATTGCTCGAGTTCCAAATAAATATCAATGACAGAACATGATTTCCAATGCTGCCATGCTACCTTTCATAAATGACCTCGGAGTTGGGAAACCTAGGCACCTGCCCAGCTCTGAGGTTCATGTACTGTACTTGCCTCAGTCTCAGATATTTAAATGCAAGCACACTGCTGCTCATACAGCAGTGTAATCCTGAGCCCAACATCCATCACGTTCTCAGCAGTGGGCTAAGAGAGTCATCAGCCCTCTGTGGCATCCTATTCTGCCTAGGCTGTAACCATAACCAATAAAGTTGTGGTCATTTTTGATCCATTATCTAGCCTTCTGTATGTACCCATCACCACTAGGGAGATAAATAAATGCTGTTAACTCAGGGTAGGCACAAGGATCACTGCATCTGAAGTGCTACAGTGAGGAAGCACACACTCTTTACTGGTTTTTTTTTTTAAAGAACAGATTCATTCGTGGAAGTACATATTATATATGCACGGTCCTATATAGACATTTCACATAAGTTATACTGCCTGTCACCAGTGGGCTGGAGGTACTAGCCAATGTGGATATGATGTTAACTCAGGAACACACTATTCAGGTGTAAATGCTGGAGAAATGCAGCTTCCGTACAACAGCATCGTTAGATCTGAAAAAGGCATCTGGATCCTCCAGAACCTGAGAGTAGCAACTGTGCTGTTATTGCACAATAAAATGCTAATTTGGAAAAGTGCTTAACATTTCAAAAGTCATATATCAGTAAATAACCATTTACTGTACATCACATTGCAGCAGCACTGCTGAGTAGAATGTGCCTACATTTTTCTTTCTGTTTTAAACAGTATTTCCAATTTTTTTAAAAAAACCACTTTGTCAACCACAGATCTGTTTAGGATACATATATAGCAAGCTTTCCCATAGTTGCATATTTAAAGCTGCTTTTCTTCTAGGTAGCCTTGAAGTCAATATAGGATCTATAATTTAAAATAAATTATCAAGAACAAAACTAAACATTTGAAAACTATGTGCCAATGTACCATTTGAAATGCAATCATTAATACATCATTTATGTCCATACATTATCATACTGGATTATCTCTTTCAGAAATTTTCCATTTCCAGATAATTAAAATTTATTTTCGGAACAGAAGTTGCTTTCTTCTGCCTCAGCAACAACTAAAAAGGAATGTGGAAGACATGGTATGTCTCATTCAATTTGTTTCCCCTTAATTCCACTCATAAATTTTCCATTTTACCAACCTAAGCTCTATTGAGGTATAATGCCCGAGACCATGGGAAGTGGGGCTGAATGAGTGAGTGGTGGATACAGGGAGAGCAACATAAGCATTACCCTCTTAACTGCATCCAGAAATCAAGACCTTTGCATGCTTAATGTCAACATCTGGAAAACAGCCTGCAAAGGAGCCTCTAAGGGCATTCAGTTGAATGTACTTACAATGCTCCTGTGATCAGAAACCCTATAAGGCAAATGTATCTGATTCTAAAAAAAAAAAATGTAAAATAGAGAAAAATGATTTGTGGGTTCATTATATGGTGTGAGTTGAAACAGCTGAAATGCACAGCTGATTTGTGGTGGGCAGATATATCAGTGGTTAAATCAAATAGTTCATTATTCAATGCCACTTGGGAGTTTTGTTCCTTGGCACAATAGTAGCCGATACTACTCTTTCTGTGGTCCTTCTTTGTCAACTAGCAACAGCCACACTTCCTTGCAGTGTAAAAATATTTAAAGCCTGTCCTTCCAGTTTCGTTGCTTATTTTAAAAATGTTAAGGCCATTTAATTCAGTGTGAATGCTGAGGCTAGAATCCTAAACACTTTTACCTGAAAGTAAGGTCCGGTGAACTCAGAGGGACTTACTTCTGAGTAGATGTGTACAGGACTGCACTGCAGGATTGCACCAAAACAAAATTCAGAAACTTTCTTGATGAGTCAAGTGGTCGTCTCCTGTTTGTCATGTTCATCTCACAGGATCTGCTCATCTTGTTTATTAGTCACCAACATCCCCATCTCTATCACCAATGAGCCACAGAAAATGGAAACTCATTGCAAGTAAGGCTGTTCCAAGGAGATCCCCAAGCGCAGTCAGATAAGGAATAGAAAAACTATCTGGATCTTTTCCTTTTTTCCATATGTGGTGCACCATCCAGTCAGCAATCCACAACAAGGTAAACACCTATGGGAGAAAAGAAGTATACCAACACCAATGAAATTAAACCATCTGGACAAATCCATAATTCTGATTAATGTATTTTAAAACAGCAACTGAGGGTAGGACCAGATGGCCCAATTGTCCTAGCCTTCATTGGTGTGTAGATCATGTGAAACAGTTGCTTTGAAGTGCAGTATGCCATTTGGGGTGATCCTTGCATATGACCACATTGCACTTCACGCAACCCTATTTAACAAAATCTAGACGACTTCTCCTTCCCTTTAAAGGGAAAAAATCCAAAAACATTTAAAGATCTGTCTGTCTGTCTTAACCTGTCCCTGTGCTTAAGCTGCTTAGTGATCTTTACAAATGGAAAGTTTCCTTCCCAATCCCCTGCAGCAGAGAAGGGAGAGGAGGTTTTCCATTTCTTTTTAACTGTTGCTAACTGATATTGCACATCAGCAATGCATTCCGAGAGCTTTTTTTAAAAAGCTCTTTCACCACATCAGTGATGCATTAACAACAAGTTAAAAGAAATTGAAAACTTCATCTTCCTTCCCTTCAGTAGATAAGTAGAAAAGAAGCTTTCCTTTTCTCAAGATTATTAAGCAGCTTAAGCAAAGGGACAGGTTAGAACAGCCACTTTGATTCAACCCCAGTAATCAGACATGCTGGAACTAACCCAAAAATCTAAAAGTTCTGCTTGCACAAAAAAGGGGGGGGCTTATCAGGGTCCCAAAACAGTGCAGATAGGAAAAGATCAGCCACTTTGATTCAACCCCAGTAATCGGACATGCTGGAACTAACCCAAAAATCTAGAAGTTCTGCTTGCACAAAAAAGGGGGGGCTTATCAGGGACCCAAAACAGTGCAGATAGGAAAAGATCAGGGACTAGCTGGTTTGTGATGGCTTGTACACAGTGTGGTTGCCAGGAAAAGGAGTGAACCTGCCTGTCCCCAACCCAGATAAAACTCCAGGACAAATCCTAATCTGATCACACCCCTGTTTTATTATTTTTAATTTTTTGCTTGGATTGCCTTGGCTAAATAAATAAACAAGACTAGGAATTTAAATACTTTGGACCCTCAAGAAGTAAGTCTTGCCATCCTCAGTCTTCTTATATCAAAAATTTTTCTCAGAAACAATTATTTAAAGTGACCACCTACTCTGAGATATTTAGCATATTAACTCAGTATATTTTGCAAGTTATTTCCTTAAAGATTAGTTAAATAACTAAAATGAAGATTAAAAAGATATTACTGTATTGAGCACACTGAAATAATTTAATACTTCTAAGAGAATCTCTACCTTTGATTTGTACTACAAAAGAATATTTAAAATGTAACCATATGGTTTTCAACTAAGCAAACGTCTTCCAACTCTTCCCATTATGGAACGTGCACAAGTTATTTCGATAAATATCCTTACTGAAAGGGCAACTGTAGTCTAAACTAATTATGCATGTGCTAGGTGTGCTACTCTGCTATCCAAACAAATATTTTTGGAAGCACATATTTTCTTTGGAGTAGCCTGTTAGATGCTTTAAGACAGCTCTTCTTTGTCCATGTCAATACACATTTATGCTACCCCTTAAAATCCCCCATGCAGAATTGGTCAACCTTTAGGCCCCCAAACAAACACCAAACACACACTATCTACAACAGCTATACATGACCCAATATTCTGGCAAACCGCATCACATGGGGTGTTATTATTAGTCCTACAATTTCAATTGATCGAGAGCACAGCATGGAGCTGAAAGACAATTTTTTCACCAATCCTAGAATTTTGAGAGGACTGTGTCATGTCATCCTTTTTTCTCTAACTACTATATGCTGGCCAAGATTCTGGTTGTTCATGCTGTCAGCTATCAAAGATTTGCCTGTGGGGAAACAAGATGGATAGGAAGGGATCTGTAGGTACTCAAAAACGTGTAACAAAACTTGACAAGTGAATGAATATACAGTGACTCTGGGTCACAGGTTTATATTATTAACTTAAGGAAGAAAACAATTAATTGGAAATACCCTTTTAAGAGAAGAACATCTAAGGGTGCGTCTAGACAGTGAAGTTATCCTCAAGTAGAGTGGGCAACACAGGGATCATTTGAAAGTGCACTCTCAGATTTAGAATGATCTCTGCACCCAAAAGCAAGAATCGGGTGGTTTCAGGAAGGAAAACACACTGCATCTCAAAGTGACCCTGTTTAATCTGTTCCTCCCTCTCATAGACTCCATGTTTCTGCCTCCTCTCCTGTCTTCCCCTCCATGTGGAAGTCGCGGAAAACTGAAATTGTTCCACCTGCCCCCATGTACTGGAATGCAACACATCACTTCATTGTCTTGCCACTAAAGTGAAGCGGCGCTGGATTGCAAACAAAAAGAAAAGAATAAAGAAAGCCTCCTCTTCTGTCTGCCAGGATGTTATTTATTTATATATATTCATTTATTGACATGTAACCTATCATATTGGTTTGCCACGAAAGTGAAACTATGCTGGATTTTAAAGAAAAAGAACAAAGCTCACCCTCTGTGTCCTCTCCTGTCACCCTTTCTGTGGGGAGCAGGGGAGCGCTGGTGTTGTTGTTTGCAATTACTGATGAGTGACATACCACTTTATTGGCCTGCTACCCAAATGACATGGCACTAAACTGATGGAGGAAACAACAGTGCCGCTGGGTCTCATTACTGTCAATCATACATGCTGGAAATGGTACTAAAACTGGGTGACTCTACCCACCCGCACATACATACACACAAAAAGTAACTCCTGCTAGGAATCCAGAAAGGTGCAGGTAGGCATGGATAAGATTCAGGCTGATTGTGATTGCCTGCACATCATGTAGTCACTGGGAAATGGAGTGAACCATATTGTTCTCAAAACAGTCCAAAATGTGAGATAAAGTACAATCTGATCACACTTTAAGCTGACTAAAATAAAACATGCCATTGTGTCTTTCTAGAAGACAATTTGTAACTTTTGTTCATATCCAGATATATTTCTGAAGATATTTACAATCATGCCATGCAATGGGGTGAGAGAAGTCAATGCTACCTGAAAGGAAGATAGTGAAAAGAAGACAATCCTTGAATGAAGGTCATTGTTCTTTGAAAATGCCATAACATAAAAACATATTTTAAGAAAGAGAAATGGTTCACATCATGGCATATAACCGAATAAGATATTGATCTGTGGACTACAGCAGTACCAGGAGAAGCCTTAAAATTCACTTGAGTTAACAGTTCACTTAGCCCAGTGGTTCTTAACCTTGGGTTACTCAGGTGTTTTTGAACTGCAACTCCCAGAAACCTCAGCCAGCACAGCTGGTGGTGAAGGCTTCTGGGAGTTGCAGTCCAAAAAACACCTGAATAACCCAAGGTTAAGAACCACTGACTTAGCCCATTGCTGTCAACCCTTCCAATATCAGCTTTCTACAACCTATGACTAAATACTTTCACTATCTCCTATGTTCTCCACAAAACTGCCACATGCAATACATATACAGATTTACATATAAAGATTCCAGTTCTACTTAGCATATCATGCTTCTAGAATTCGATAACTACTACAAAGAATGATTAATTCTATGTTGTCAATTCCAACTTCCAAACCTCTTCAGGGTTTTCCAGGTAGAGAATACACAAAAGTGGTTTACCATTTCCTTCTTTTGGGGGCGTCTTGGGACTGTGCAGCTTGCCCATGGTTGCACAGGCTGGCTGTACTCACAGAGAAATGATGTTATTGTCAGCAGTAGGTTGGCACTGGTTAAAGAATCCCATTTTCAGTTTTGGGGTGCCTAATGAATTTTTGCACACACCAAAATTGAAAAATGAAGTCTTTAATCAGTAACAATCTGCTGCTGACAATGACATCATTTCCACTGAACAAGCAGAATACAACCTACAAGATTTTGGCCATAGATGCTAACAGAAACTCAATGGAATATTGCCTGTTCTATTCTGTGCTTTCCCATATCATGAAATATCAATTTGTTATTTCAGCTGATATCTTAGCTGCTCCAAAACCAGGGCTATAGCTGCCTAATACAATATGTGGTTTTTCACTTAAACATAGGCAAACACTATAATATCTTTCATTTAGATCTGTAAAAGAAAACCACCCAAATATGGCTATAATTGGTTTAACGTACAGTAACATAAGGGACGTGGTGGCGCTGCAGGATAAATCGTAGAAGCCTGTGCTGCAGGGTCAGAAGACCAGCAGTCGTAAGATCGAATCCACACGATGGAGTGAACTCCCATCACTTTGTCCTAGGTCCTCGCCAACCTAGCAGTTCGAAAGCATGTATATGCAAGTAGATAAATAGGTACCACCTCAGTGGGAAGGTAACACGGTATTCCCTAGTCACACTGGCCACGTGACAACAGAAACTGCCTTCAGACAAGCGCTGGCTCTACGGCTTAAAAAACGGGATGAGCACCGCCCCCTAGAGTCGGACACGACTGGACTAAAAATATCAAGGGGAACCTTTACCTTTTAACATAAAGATAGATAGACAGATAGACAGATAGATAGAGTACGTTCTGATCTGTATTAACCTAAAAATATATTGTATGTTATGAGAATAAAAATAACCTGTGTTTTTAACTTATGCTGTCCAATACTACTAACTACTACTACTACTACTACTACTACTACTAAATAATAATAATGTGCCACCAAGTCAATTCTGATTTATGGTGAATCTTTTCAAGGTTTTCCAGGCAGAAAATACTCAGAGAGTTTACCGTTCCCTTCTTCTGAAGCCATCTTGGGACTGTGCAATTTGCCCAAGGCCACACAAGCTGGCTCTTCTAGAATGCACAGTGGAAAATTCAACTCCTAACCTCTATCGCCACAGCCAGATATGTAGCTCTTGATTTAAACTGCAGGATTTTTTTTTCAGAGCTCAGCCTTAAAACTGTTTCAGCTAATGGTTTGTTATGATATTGTAAATTCCCAGAAACCAATTTAAGAATAGATTTCTGCACTTTAAATCAAATGCTATAAATGGTTGTAACTCA